GTCGTCTCCAATTCCACCCGCTAGTTAGGACTCCCCCAATCACACGATGCTATCAACGCTAGGAGGGTGAAGGCTAACACAGGCTTCCTCCGAACCCGTGAAGCCAACCATCAGAGAAATGACAGATATGCAGAAGATGAGCTGAGCAGCACTTCAGATTTTACAACACTTAGATTATGCACTCCAACAAATACAATAATTCTACATAACTTAAAGCAAAAACAGCTGAGTTTTACCATTCAGTACAAGATTCTCTCAATTTAGATCTTTAGTAAAGGCTGGACAGTCAGTACAGACACTGATCAGCCTTACAGGATATTTCATTAAGTGCTACAGTGGGAGCATATAAAGCAAAGAATGAAGACTTGGTTACTGAAGGTGATACAGAGCCTGAGGCTCGGGCTCTCACTGATATGTGACATAAAGATGAACTCATCATTTCCTTTATTCAGGTTTTTCTCCACAACCTCGAAGCCAGCTTTTTCATAAACTCGCAGAGCTTCATTACCATCTAATGCAGTGACGAATTGGTTGATAGAAGTTTGCCACACTTGTACCATAGATACACAGCATCAGTTATCAGTTCTTCTTCAGGGCATCCCCCTCTTCTCACTGATGCAATCATCTTTGTCCTTGGAGTGATATTAGCAGAGAAACACTGCAGAACCTGGCGGCTTCAACCTGCAGTTGGTGTCTTCATAGGGATGTATCATTGCTAAAAGAGAGCGTTCATGTATTAAGAGGTATTATTATTGTAAGAGAAGTGAATAGAATAACATTATATTACTTAATATTAGTTTATATATTAGTTTAGCTATTATAGTTATCTTAGTAATTATATTATTAACCTTAGTTACTATATTAGTTAATGTTATTTATTAGTGAATCTTTCTAACTACATTAGTTAACCTCAGGCACTACAAAGGTAAATTTTATTTATCATATTAGCTAATCTTAGTTGCTATATTCATTAATTTTAATTATTCTATTACTTGATTTTAGTTACTATTGTGGCATCCCACTGCACTATTAGCTCCCGAGATTTTGGTGCTTTTAAGCTCGTCCTCCTCCAAGTCCCAGCTCCCTTCCATGTCTGATTGGACTGCTGCTAAGCTGCAGAAATTTCTGGAAGACATATCCATTCGGCCCTCAGAGCTGAGCTTTACTCCCTCTATCTTCAGTCTCTCAGGAGTAAACAATGCCTGCTCTAGCAATGCTTGATGACATCACCGCTCCCACAGCCCTGCCACGTGATGACATTATTCCTCTCAAGCTTCTTCTGGCCTTGTGCTGCCCTCTGCTGGCTATCCTAGTCCTACACTCAGGCAGTCTGAACTTTGTGGTTGCACATTCAACCTGGCCTCCTCCTGCTCCTCCCTCACCCTGTCATCTGCTGCACCCCCTATTCCTGTAGCTGCGCCCGGTCCTGCCCTCACCACTCAAATAAATATTCAGACATCTTTCCACTCCGGTCAACATCCCCACTCTCGCTGCTGATCTTTCTCTTCACCCTGACCATTCCATGTCCTATTTACAGGACAGCCTTGCCTTCTCTGGGCCTGTTCTCTCTCGTGCCACCTCCTCCTCTCCACTCGTTTCTAGTCTGATGCCGTTTCCTCCCTGTTGGCCAAGGAAGTTTCAGAAAGCTTCATGATTGGCTCTTTCACTTCCACTCCTTTCTCCACTTACCATATTAAAATGGGAGTGATCTGATCCCTCTGTGTTGTTTTTGTTAGGATGCTGCTGCATTTTATATGAGTTGTAAGGCATGTATTGTTTTCTTTGGAAGTCCAATAATGTCAGCCTGACACCAAACGACTTTTCAAGCGTTTTCACTTTCGCAGACAAATTTGTAGTGTCAGAATAAAATCATGAGAGCCTTGCTAGAGTTGCGTCGTGCTCACGTCATCTCGATCGTTTAGTGTGAGGTGGTCAGGATGGCTGTCTCAAGTCAGCCTTTTTATGTCTTGACGCTGTGACAGAATCAATCATGTTTAATATTAACATAAGTTTTAACTCTTGGCTCATGCAAATAGTGACGTGCCAGGGGTGCACATGAGAGTGAATGAGCCGTGCAATAGAGAGAGCAAGGGAGAAAATGCATGTGTGAGAGCCTGAAATCGCTGTAAAAAAGGCAAATCTGCTCACCTTTAAAACAACAATCATATTAACTTAATCTAAACTGACTGTTAATATTTCAAGTTCACTGAGTGTAACAGTGATGTAATGAAAGGTGCAGAGGACTTTAAGAATAGCATTATTGAAGAATCACTGGTTTCTTATTTTATTTGTTTGTTTTTTATGGTTTAGTTCATACCACCTGATCAACAATGCTGAATCACTGCATGTTTTGCTGATGTGTAAATCTCTATGGTAAATAAAGTATTGGCACATTTTACAGGTTAATTAAAAACACTGGGTGAAGATCTGCCAGAATATACAGTGGAAGAGTGGAAGCAAAGTGTTTATCTGCTTGTAAATTTCCACCAGGTGCATGATAGGAAATAATCTCAAAAACTAGCTGCAGTGTTGCAAGTAGTGACCCTGCAAGATCCCCTGTCTTTGCAAAATCATAGCAGTGACTAAAAATTGTGACATTGTCTTTAGATGTGAGAGGGTGTCAGACTTTAGTCTTTCAAAAGTCTTTACAAATTCTTCTCAAAGTCTTCTAGTGTATGGTTAGCATAAGAAAAGCATTACAGTAATCAAGTCTGCTTGTAACAAATGCATGAACAAGTTTCTCTGCGTCACTCTGAGAGAGAAAAGCCTGAACTTTAGTGATTTTCTCAAATGATAAAAAGCTGCTTTAGTGACCATGTTAAGATGTAGATTAAACAGAGGTCAGAGTCTAAGATCACAGCCAGGTTTCTACTGCAAGTTTGGTTTATCAAGCTAAAGAACCAAGTTTCTCATAAATCATTTTTCTCTGAGTTTCTGTACCAACAATCAATATTTCAGTTTTCTCATGATTTGATTGTAAAAAGGTTTGTGACATCCACTGAGAAATATCTGACACACAGCTGGTCAGTCTGTCTACAGAGTCTTGATCTTCAGAAGGAATATAAATGTATAGCTGGGTGATATCAGCATAGCTATGAAAATTTATATTATGCTTCCTAATGACATCACCTTGAGGTAACATGTACAAAGAGAAAAGCAAAGGCCCCAAGACTGAACCTTGAAAGAAATGTCAAATCTTCAAAGATTTCCCAACAAAACCATGAATTGTCCATTAAAATCTTGTGGTCAACGGTATCAAAAGTTGAAAACATGAACCAATGCTGTCTCTGTTCTATGGTTAGAACCAAAACCTCTCATATAACTTGTTTGATATATTGTTTGAAAACAATTTTTCTAAGACTTTATTTATAAAAAGGCAGGTTTGAAATGGGTCTAAAATTATTTAGCGTGGAGGGATCCTTGCTACTCTTTTTAGCAGAGGCTTCACCAAGGCATCTTACTGGAGAGCAATTCCAAGTCTAACTTTAGCAGACTGGGTTACTTAGCTTACTGGAGATTGGTTTGAACAGTAGCTTTAGCAGATTGGAGAGCAATCTAAATGGTAGTTTTAGTAGACTGGGTTAGCTTACTTTAGCTTATCGGAGATCTGTTCCCATGGTAGCTTTAGCTTGCTGAAGAGTGTGGTTTGAGCTCGGCTCCACCCACTGTCCTTTAAGATGCATGTAGGACTCTCCTGAGTCCTGGTGGTAGAATGAATCTCCACTGACTGTCAAAACAGAAGAGTCCTGTCCTGTCATCAATCACAGAGGACAAAGAGAAAAACCTGATAACAGTTCAGCTGGCTGTTCAGATCAGTTTTACTCTTCAGTACTACAGTACTGAACTCTCTTCAAAGACGTAGAACAGGACACACGTTTTAGAGAAAACAGTTTATTTAGATTTATGTTTACTTTTTTCCAATACTTTTACTATATAATTTCTCATTTTTAGTGTTATATATGATAAACATAAGGCTGGGTGATAAAACGATAACGATAAGTATCGCGATATAACTTTTCCTCGAAAGAGCAATAAGACGGTTTGATAAATGTTCGATATAATACGCCATTCTCACACTTCCACGTTTTAGTGAAAGCCCTGGTGGCGTTTTCTACTGCAAGGAAAGCGACACTACTCTGCTGTCGCCAGGAGAGGGCGCACTTCCGAGTTTTTCGACTTGATTAGAGAGGGAGGGGGCCATGAGTAAAAAAGGGTCACCAACAGTGGTGTAACTGTACTGTCCTACGGTGAACTCACCTCTTTACTAACATCCTAACAGCTTTAGCAGTGTTAAATCACGTCTGCAGCGCCGTGTTACAGCCAAACCGTCATATTTTAGTATTAGTGCATTCTCGAGCAGCGAAAGTGAAAGAAAGAAGTGGTTCATGTTCAAAAGTAAACTGAGGAAGCTGTGAGGCGTTGGAGAGCGGGAGAGCGCTCTCTCTCTAGGCTAGCTTGTTTTTAGCTGCTGGCTAACTTGAAGCAGTGCTTCGGCAAAACACAGTGAGTTGATGATACTGTAGATCAAACAAGACACAAAATCACCGCTTTCAGTTTAAACATGCCTAAAAGGAGGACTCTGTGACTGGTGAGAGAGATTCACACTGCAGATAATGCTTTTACACAGCGAGCGTCAGATATACTGCGGTTCACCCCTTAAACTACTACAGTAGCATAGAGAAACCCAGCCGTCTAGCTGGTGTCTGAATACTGTGATCTGCTCTGACATGGATGTGGTAGGAGTGACCGCAGTGACCTACCGAACCGAGCTGACGTTGTTGAGAAACTAAAGAGTTTAGCCCTGTTGTTGGCCACTTGTTTAGCGTTTGTAGTGGGGTAGCCGAGCGCTCGTCACCAGACAGCTAAAATAATCTGTTTTCTTTCTTAAATTATGACTATTACAAAAATTGCAGCTGTGCTTTTCAAGCTGATAAAAACAGCTCAGAAACTCTTCCATGACAGATTAGTGAAATGTTCCACTGTTTGCTGAGTGTTTGTTATGATCGGACCATAAGTGATAGTTTAAAACCACAGTTAACCACCCAGGAGCAAAATCAGCCTTCAAACGTGAAAGAAATCATGATTTGAAATTTATCGCGATATGTATCGATATCGAACGATATGAATTTTGTTTATCGTGATAACGTTTTTGGCCATATCGCCCAGCTCTAGATAAACAAACATTTTTCAACAACAGATATTTTTACCTCCTCTGGTCTCACACAAACCCTGTGTGCAGGTTATTCTAATTCACACAGACACACTGACTCCTTCCTAACACTAAATCCAGCGTAGAGAGGTTCAGTGAATGTGGTGGTGAATGTGTATAAGTGGGTCAGTGTGTGTGTTTTAGGTGAGATGGTGTAGAAGGACAGGACGCCGGACCCCCAGTCCAGATACACTCCTACCCTGTGGACCCGGGAAGTGGATAAGGAGATAGGTATTGTAGTGGTGTTCTTATTGTGTCTGAGAGAGAACTGGTAATTACAGACATAGTGATCAGAGCAGGACTGATTGTTACAGACAGAGTAACTGTAATAAGGGCAGTTCAGACTCCAGGACTGATTATTGTATCCAAACCCACAGTCCTCACTGCCTCCTTTCCTCCTGATTCCTCTGTATGATACTGATATATCAGCTCCATATCCGCTCCACTGAACCTCCCAGTAACAGCGTCCAGTCAGACTCTCCACACTCAGAACCTGAGGACAGCCATTAAATCTGTCTGGATGATCTGGATACGACTGATCTTCTCTCACATACTGCACCTTTCTGTTCCTCTCAGACAGAGAGAGACGACTGTTCACTGTGTTTGGATCCAGAGTGAGATCAACAGCATCTGTGCACACACACACACACCACACACACACACACACACACACAGATTAGAGGACATGCAAATACAGAGAGAGCCGAGAGAGAGAGTGTGTGTGTGTGTGTGTGTGTGTGTGTGTGTGTATGATGTGTGTGCATGCATGATACATTTCTTACATTTGTTCAGTCCTGGTATCATCCTTATCTTCCCTCCATGATCCACCCTGAAGAACAAACACACACACATACATTTACACACACATACATACATACACCTACTATATATATATATAAAAATGCACACATCTTGTGCCAGTTTCACACACATTCTGTCCATGCGTTCTGTACAAAACTGGTCATTAAGTCTAAACACGCAGATCTCCTCTTACTCATGCATAGGCATTAGAGGGAGGGCTGCAGAAATGTGGAAGGATTGTGCAATAAGTAGGTGGAGATGTTGGAAGACTGGCTGATTACATATTCCATTCTATTTACTAAAGTCTGAGCAGCTCACAGTGGCCGGTTTGAGTGCAGATTTTTCTCCAGCTTTTAAAACTGGGTTTAAATTTATGTTACAGTTTCAGCACAGAGACACAGGACTTTCACATTCTGAAAGAATATTCATTAACATGAAAACATTATTTAATCTCTCAGGATGACTAAAGTGATATGCTAAGATTTTCTCCAGCAATTCATAAATATGACTTGTTTTGGGAACAGAAGAAGGAAGCAGCTCATGACACACAGAGCACTGGGAACAACCTAATAGAGATGAAACGATATTAAAATTTCATATCACGATTATCATGACCAAAATTATCACGATTATCGGTATTATCGCGATATTGTTCAAATGAGTTGAAAGGTAAAATAAATAAATACATAAAGAAATACTGATACCCAAACTGAAACTCGTTTCACCAACTTTTATATTAACACAAATAGAATTGGCAGCAATACGCACTTTTTTGTTTGCATAAACATTAAAAAAATATAGTCAATACATTTGTAGTATTACTTTTGCAGTACTTACAATACTTGTAATACTCTGTAAACAAAAGAATAGCAAATGTATTATTATTACTGTTATTATTATTATAATTATTATTATTATTACTGTTATAATAATAATAATAATAATAATAATAATAATAATATTAAATTACAATAACTAGGGATTTCCCTCCATAGAGAATTAAATCTCGACCAACTCTGAGGTGAAAATTACTACTTCTAAGATGTGCTGCTCTCGGGGGATTTCTGTCCAAACTGCAGCTGCAGCATTATTGTGCCGTTGTGGCGCTGAACCCCTAATCAACACAGTGCACCAGGAAAAACAGCCAAAATCCCAGAGGAGCTGCGTGACGCGCTGTGAGCTGCAGACAGTGTAGAACTCACACAGTGTGTCTCCACCTGTGGAGCTGCTTCTCTAAAAGCATTTAAAACTAAAACATAACTTAAAATTAAGGCGCATCTGAGCTGCGGCAGAAACACTCCTGAAGTTTAACCTCTGAAACTCTGCTTTTCCTAAAAGCAGCACAGCGTTTACTCGTGAGGTCCCGTCTCAAAGCACGCAATCTTCCCTAGGTAGTGCACTTCGTGGATCATGAAATAGCAAATCCTTCACCCAAAGAGTGCAAGAAATGTTCAACTAAGTCATCTATAATCAATATTAACAACAGGTTACAAATTACCTATTTAAAGCTCAGCTGCTTGTTAATGATGATCGTGTTTGTTTGAACAGTAGCGCCCTATGTAGGGGACACTGAGTGATTTGAGACGGTGTTATTCTCTTCTCAGACGGTAAACACTGCAAGCGGGACGAGAAAGGGGAGCTGTGCAGATTGAACTTCTGCAGCGTGCCGTTCCAGAGCGCGTGTGACTGTTAACTCATTTTGCAGACTCTGCTCCACAGAAATGTGTGTTAAAAGCTTTAGTTTCGATTCACAGCTGATTCACCGATTGTTTTTCTTTTAAAAAAGACTAAAGACACTAAAAGCTTAATTTTACATTATTAACGAACCATAAGCGTAAGTTAAACCGCACAGACCATGACATTTCTTCTACTTCAAAGTCCACAGACTTCTACATGAAAGTTAACCTTTCATTCTCTAAAAAGTAGCGGGTGGTGGTCGCGAAGATGACTCGTAAGGTTTGATATGTTGCCCCCTTTCGCCACTATTTTCTTTCGGCCTGTTCTGCAGACAGGGTGGTCATCTGCAGACAGGGTGGTCATCTTCAATTAACTTTCCTTCTGCATTCTTATAAAACCCAAAACATGACCAAACGTCAGACTTGGTCTTCTTAGAAGGCTGAAATATCTCCGAATCTCTGTCACTACATTCCGCCATGTTCTCCCCTCTCTCCCTCTCACTCTCCCTCTCCCTCTCTCCCCCTCCCCCTCTACACACACAGAGCTGCATCTGAGACAATGATTCTTCCTTTGTTTGACTCTGTACATCGAGTTTTTCACACCGCGGTAATGGACCGCGGTTTTAACGATACTTTAAAGTTCAAGCGGTACTACTAACCGTCATTAATTTTACCGCAGTTTACCGTGAAACCAGTAACTGTTTCATCTCTACAACCTAACACATTTTTGGTTTGGAAAATAAAGCATCTCTGCAAGATTAGTAATGTTTACACGCACAAACTACACATCTCTGCTACATAATGAAAATGTACACTCTGTTTCCAGCTTTTCTGAAAAACCGTGCTGACAGTGTACAGAAAAATATGGTCATCAAAACAAATAAGATTAGGCACAGGAAACACTACACCGAGACACTGGTAGCAGGAAATAATAGCATGATAAAATTAAAATATATTTTAATATTTTACGTGATATCAAATGAATCTCAATGAAAAAGCTTTGTTAGGATTTAATAATAATAATAATAATAATAATAACAACATTTGTTATTATGTACTATATAGTTTATTTACTCTTACTGTCTAATAATCAATGACATATTTAATTTATATATATAATATATATATTAATTTAATTTATATATATATATATATATATATATATATATATATACACACACATATATATATATATAACCGTAATTAGCTGCCTCATCCTAAGGACAAAAACATCTACAGCAAAACGTTACAGTCAGTAAAGTGTAAATTATGTATATGTACAGTAAGTCTGTGTATAGAGACAGTATGTCAGTAACTCACTGTATTTTCTCCAGTGTGCAGTGTGGATCCTCCAGTAGATCAGACAGCAGCTTCACTCCAGACTCTCCTGGGTAATTATAGGTCAGATCAAGTTCTCTCAGGTGGGAGGGATTTGATTTCAGAGCTGAAGCTAGAAAAAAACAGCCTTCATCTGTAACCATACACCCAGACAATCTGCAGAAAGGAAAGAAAAAGAGAGATGGCATTTACACAGAGCAAAAATCAGCTGCTGTTCAGTATAGAATAGTATATTCTTTCAAAAACAAATGGGGCAGAATGACTGAATTGAATAAATTAATGATTAAAGAATTTTAAATACAACTAAAGAAATTTGCATTTTTGAGAAGATTTTTTTTTTATTGGTCCTATTCTCCATGAACTCTATGGTTGTCTTAGATCATTTCCTGTTGTTCTGGAGAATAATTATTATGTAAATTCAAAAGAGCTGTCAACTCAAGTGCACAGATTAGGAGATGGTTCTAAACAAATTTGCATTCAATTGGAATTTATATTAAGCACAATCCCATGTGCAGTGAGCAAGATAGTAATAGAAGCAAACAGGAACCCCAAGATCTTAATTTCAGAACTGCACAGTTTAGCTGAATCTAAAGGACTTCAAACTGTGAAATCCACAAACTACACTGGGCAGTGTGCAGAGAAGAACTACTGATGAATCAATGAGCAGCAAACAAACAAAAGCATCAGCAAGTGGAGGTCCAGTTCCACTCAAGATCCTCCATTGTAACAAAAATCCACTAGCTGTATGAATGAGAGCGAGGGGCTACACACTAGATCACGGAGGAGCTGAATCTTTGATTATGTGTCATTGAAAGTAGTACAAAGATAGCATATCAAATGAAGACACTGAAAAATATTTGCCCATTTTGAATTTGATGCCAGCAACACATTTCAAAAAGTAGGGACAGAAACTTGTTTACCACTGTGTTGTATCACCTCTCCTTTTAACAAACACTCTAAGTGTTTGGCAACTGAGGAGACCAACTGATGTAGTTTTGAAACTGAAATGTTCTCATTCTTGCTTGATACAGGATTTCAGCTGCTTCACAGTCGGTGTCACCTTTGTTGTATTTTTTGTTTCATAATGCGCCAAATGTTTTCAGTGGTGACAGGTCTGGACTGCAGGCTGGCCAGTTTAGCACCTGGACTCTTTTAATAAGGACGTCACAAACTCCCATAATTCACATCACTTTGCCATGAGCACGCTGGCCAGTGTTCAACCAAGCTGTCACCTAACCACTTCAAAATCAATTTACATAGTAAATACTTTTGAAACTGGATCAGTTTGTCTTAAGTCCCCAAACAATTACTAAATGTTATTAAAGTGAAAAGTGATGTAACACAGTGGTATACATGCTCCTGTAAGCAACTTTTGAAATGTGTTGCAGGTATCAAATTTGGAATCAGTACATAATTACAAAAAACAATTATGTTTTTAAGGTAAAACAACAAATATCATGTTTTTATTCTGTTTTTATTCAATATAATACAGGTGGAATCTGGCCAAAGTTTAACCAAATACTAAATAATATAGATAAAGACTAGATCTTTAACTTCTTTAACCTCTTATTCTCCAGGGTATATTTTGGTTTGCAGTGGTGGACAGTACTAAGTAAATGTAATTCGTTACTGTACTGAAGTACTTTTTTCGTGTATCTGTACTTTACTGAAGTATTTCCATTTTGGGCGACTTTTTATTTTCACTTCACTACATTTCAAAGTCAAATATCTTATTTTTTACTCCACTACATTATGCAAAATCTGTCGTTCCTTTTGGTTTATGTGTGTATAAAAATGTAACATCAAAATGAAAGAAATGTGAAGCAAGACCTCCAGGGCACAGCGCGCACTTAGTTTTGAGCTTGTTTTGACCTGTTGGACATACTGACCCAGTGCAGCACACGGTTCAATGTCAGTGCAGCAGCATAAAATTTTGGGAGTGTCTATTCCAACATAAATGATGGAACTAACCTAACTTTGTGCAAATAGACCACAATATAGAAATATGTACACATATGCAGTTGTGACTGACGGGTCTTTTTTCTGAATTTATACAAACACTATTTCATTTTATAGTAAATTAGTTTTGGCTAGTTTATGTTTATGAACAGAGACCTACAGATGCAATACAGTAAAGGAAAACTCATTTGTGAATCTGTGTTTAAAGCAAGTTTTCATTATACTTAAACTTGTAACTAAGTTGCAAATACATCTTAAACTGAAATTTTGCTTGTTTGCAAAAAGCTGTTTCAGAGCCACTCAGTTCTACCTAATGGAAACTGTTCGCCTTCAGTGTTTTGTGCTTATTATAATTTTAATCGACATCAGCGTCAGACTAATGAATGACATTCTATTAAGATTGGTTTAACAAGAGTGACACTAGAATATTTTCACCTAAAATTAGTTTATAAAGCAAGTCTTGTTACAAAAATGATAATATGACATTAGAATCATAATTGATCTTTTAGTACTTTTACTTTCCATACTTAAGTACATTTGAAGGCAAATACTTTTGTACTTTTACTCAAGTGGAGGTCTAAAGGGAGGAACTTCTACTTTTACTGGAGTAATATTTCACCTTGGGTATCTCTACTTTAACTCAAGTACATGATTTGTGTACTTCGTCCACCACTGTTGGTTTGTCCATCTGAATTTACATGACAAATTCAGTAACAGCATGAAATAAAAACAATTTTTTTTTTTTTTGAAAAAGCTCTCTTCAAATGAACAGAAAATGTGTTTTATGATCATAAACATATTGCTGTATGCGTACAATTTACTGCTGAAAGCCAAAAATCTTAGACTCTTTTTGTATTATTTTATAACAATAATTTTTAGATTAATAGATCACTGAAGAGACGTCATCTGATTATATTTATAGCCCAGATTTTGTTTTCAGTAGAAAGAGTTCAGCTTCTTTTATTATAAGAGTTAAAATTACATCACCCATCTATTTGACTGGAAAGAAGACAGTTACAGCCTCATATGACACCCACCTTTTGAACGTAGCTTGTGAAATATGAAAGTTAAGAAGAATATGACAAAGTGCATTTTGGAACCACCAGTGGTTCCAAGGAGTTTAAGAGGTTAAACTTATTTTTTTCTTTAACTTGTATGCATTCTTTGGTGGAACACAAAATACTACAATGTTACAATATTATTTCATAGTGCTACAATAAAACCAGCATGTCTTAAAAGCTCCAAAAGTCAGTGTAGGAAGGTGCAAATTGCTTAAATTCTAAATGCCAACACTAACTGAATTTATCATTATTGTAGCAATGGTAACTGGAGACTTACAAAGTGAAAGGATATTCACAAATGGAATATTTCTATACATTCTGCTATACAAAGACATGTATGACCAAAAAGTCCATTAACTCACTTGAACTTCATGCACTTTATTTCATGTTGGTACAGACTGTGCTAGTTAAGCTAGGATACTATTAGACAGATAACTATTATTATCTAGATAGACTAATGTTGATTAACTTTATCAATAATTAAGTGTAAACTTGTTGCATTTACCCTAGTTCACAGATATTAATGTAGCTCAGCTACCTCTTCAATATTTAAATAGTGGAAAGGGAAAAACAAAATTAAACAGCAGTGAAAATGATCATTTGCTGTTCAGAAAAGTACTTTTGGTGCCTAGCTTTACAGTCAAAATATACTGTATGCTTCAATATAGTATTATTTGATGCATTGTTACAGTAATAATACAACAATATGCTGATGAAATAATGCTGTTTTTATTAACGTGTCTGCAATTTAACTGGAATGTATTAAAAAAACTTACCATTGTTTTCTGATAGAATTATTTAAACTGATTCTTTTGGAATTTCTTTTCTGTGCTATGAACCCTCAGAGCTGACAGGATCTGGGATACAGTGATGAATGTGAAACAATCTGGTTCATTACTGAACACATGAATGGGATTCTGAAGGGTCACCTGCCGTGTTTGACCGAGCTGTTGTGCCTTTACCACTGTGCAATGTGGACATAAGTAGCACTCTGTGGTAGGAACTAACTAGATGCTTCTAAAATGGTGTGCAGCAAAAGTGTAAAGAAAATAAAACATTTTCATTTGATTAAGGGACAGTTTATTCCCAACACTGCTAAATCTTTTTATTTCTCCATTACAACTTTACTTCAGATGGGTGTTAGGTAAGCAGGTCCAGTAGTTTATAGTCTGTAGATGTTTTGTACTAGTAACTTATTTTGATAGTTAAGACATTAAGTGGCATGCTTAAATAGACTTGCTTGGCCCTTTGAATAATGAAAAATGGCAAAATTAATACATTTTACTGTACAATTCCTTGAGTAAAAAAAATGGTGTTTAACATTAGTATAATCTAAAAAAGTAAGTAATGCGGTTGTTGTAAAACACTGAGTTGAGCTGAGCCTCAAACAGTGAGTTTAATGTGTATCTAATACATTAGCTTTTTAGTTAGCTTTTTTAGTGCATAGGGGATATCACTCTGTTAAACGGGTTTCTAATTATTTTTAGATACCACATCAGGAATAGTTACACATTCATTACTGAGAAGGTTAGTGTGAGAGATACAATACAACTCAACAAAACCAGTTAAATAAATAATGATGTTAATATTTTTACTTGACAGTGTATTGTTTACCTTTTTTCCTTCTAAGACTTAATTCATTGAAAGCTCACCTGAGTTTCTCCAGTTTACAGTGAGAACTCTTCAGTCCAGCAGAGAGCAGCTCCACTCCTGAATCCTCAAGGTCATTGTTGCTAAGGTCCAGATCTTTCAGGGAGGAGTTTACTGATTGCAGAGCTGATCCCAATTTTTCACAAGGATTTCCCTCAAACTTACAGAAAGCTACTCTGGAAACAGACATAACAGTATGCTTAAAGAAAGACTTCTAAATAAGATAAGAAATATGTCATATTGTTTATATAACACACTGATAACGTGTAGTTTCACATTTTTAAAAATGTAATTGTAGAAACTGTAGGAAATACTAAATGATGCTTAGGTCTTTGATGTTCACAGTTTATTGTGCCTTATCAACTTGTTTTCAGTTACCTAAGAATCTCCAATTTACAGTCAGAACTCATCAGTCCAGCAAACAGCAGCTCCACTCCTGAATCCTGCAGATTGTTGTTACTGAGGTCCAGCTCTTTCAGGCAGGTGTTCATGGATTGTAGCACTGATCCTAGTTTTTCACAGGACGTTGCAGTGAGATTGCAGCCGGCTAGTCTGTAAACACAGAGTAAATACAGTATATGGTACATTTAAATCAGGGAACTGGCATGGAGTGACATTAGTGTCCATGTGCTACTTTGTCGTTACAACCAGAAATAAGTACACTGGATGTTCATAATCTGATAATTTATTCAGGTGTTCCAGTTTAAAACAAAAGCAAACCCAGTCATTACTTTTTCTCTCCAAGTATGAGGCCAATTTATGATACTGTTCAATTTCAAATCTTAGAAAATCCTACAAAATACTGAATGAAGTATTTCTGAATTGATCAAGACTAAAAGAATGTTAATATGCTCCACTAATAGAGATAAGATGCTTTGTGAATTAGAGTTTTTAAAATTAAGACTACACACAAGAGATATTGGCTTTATAAGCCCTGATTCACCACATTTCACTAAGAAATCTGCATTTCTTTCTACATATATTTAAAAATTAAACAGAATTGGTTTGATGTCAGGAAAACATATTGCACTTTTTGTTGTGTTTTTATATTTCACGGTTGGTCAGTGCCAGAGATTCAGTAGAATTCTAAAATCATGTGAAATTAATAATGAAATCAATGTTATAATAATGCTATTTTTATATGTTTACAGTTTGTTATGGCTTCACACTTATTTTTACATATTTTTCCCCAATTACAATACAGAGATAGCTTACCTGAGTGTCTCCAGGTTACAGTGTGAACTCTTCAGTCCAGCAGAGAGGAGCTCCACTCCTAAATCCTGCAGGTCATTGTTACTGAGGTCCAGCTCTTTCAGGGAGGAGTCTGTTGACTGTAAAGCTGACGAGAGAGTTTCACAGGAGTACTTGGTGATAGAACAGCCATCTAGTCTGCAAATGAATAATAAACCCAGAACATAGTATAGTTAAAATGGGGGACGTGAAATCAAATATCACAGGAATTATGAGCTTCTTTATTCATTTGATCTTTGAGATTTAATGAGATGAATATTGTTTATTTACCGTACTAGTTTACTTTGCTGCTTTTAATGTTGAATGTTTTTATCAAAATGTGCCCAGTTTTCCAAAATAATTAAATACCCATGATCATTGTGAATGCAGAACACCACAAATATAACTAGTCTGGTCCCTCAATTACATTCTCTCTTTAGGAACTAGAACATACCAGGTTCTGCTCTGCAGAGGACGCACATCATTACTTTGGGATTACTAATAACAAAGTTACTAATAACATAAAATGTCATTTATAATAAAATTTTTTAAAATTTAAATGTTTCAGAAAATAATGGAAGACAGGGAACATTTGATGACCTAAGTAGGGTAATGTTCTTTGATGTTCCAAAATAGGGTAAAGGTTAGGAAATGGAAAAAATGCTAATTAAAGAATGTAAAGAAAAATAATATTAGATAAAGAGCACAATACAGCAAGACAGAATTGTAATAAATGGAAACAAGTTAGTGTGGAACAATATTGACAGTTTTTTTTCTTGCAGGCCTATACTCTCATAGTCCATTTAGGTAACCAGAAAGCTTTAGATTCATGTTTCTGTTTTTTCCACCTATATTTACGTTTAACTGACTTTTAAATCACAACACAAAATACACAGACCCCTTTGGCAGATATTGGCTACATATTTTTAGTCCCAGTGCTCTAGTACAGAGAATGGAATGTATGTGAAGCATATCCAAACACAGTGGGTTATGATCTATCATGGTTTATGAGCACATGTTTACTGAATGATTAGAAGCAGAATTAATCCCAATATGGTCAACATGGTTTCAAATGTTTAAAATTTTGTTTAATAGTACAGATATTCCTCAGAATAAGTGCTTATCAAAACATTCGAGATATGTGTATAAGTTAATAGAATTTAATAGCAGATAAATGATGCCTGCTCAGAAGTGTGTGGGCATGTCAGATCACACAATGACGTACAGTGGTGTCCCCCTTGTAATGTAAACCACCCAGCACCAGTGGCAGTAGTGACTGACACCGCCAAAATGCAGATCAAGCTGTCTAATGATAATTTTAGAGTTCTAGTTACATTTTGCAACAAACGTTCAAGAATTATGGACATATCATATCTGATGTTTGTACTCACAGCACTAAAGTTATATCCATAATCTATAGCTAGCTAGCTAACTGCTAGACTATGCATCTGAAACTGAGGTCGCAAAAGCTCCCACAAATGTTTCTGTTGGTGTGAGTCACACTTTGAATCTGTGTACACAATTGTTTTGTAGCTGTTACATTAGCTCACAGCATATCACACAACATTCATAACACATGGTTACACAGGGTTGAAACCAGATTGATTGAGTCAGCTCCAACAAATATATATATATAAATATATATATATAAATTTAAAAAGCATTTAGCTGGTACACTGTTTTTAATTGGAACCAAAGCATTAGAAGAACTCCCAACAGTAGACACTATAATTCAGGGCTGAAAATGTTCCTATTTGAGCAGCTTTCAGCTTCATTCTCAGCTTTCATCTCATTTCCCTTTTGTAATAGCTCCTTATTACCCTAATTTAATAAATTTGACTTTTTAACATAATGTTTCATTTTATCTGTTATATCTCTTGTTTCAATCATGTTTTAATCATATTTTTACTTTCTTAGTCTTTTAAATTTTAATTTGAATTACATTTAGATTTTCTCATTTGTAAAGCACTGTGAATGACCACAATGTATGAAAGGTGCTATATAATAATAATAATAATAATAATAATAATAATAAAAACTTTCCTTGCCTTGTCTTGCCCGAAGTGGACCGCTAGCTATTCCACTCTTATAAACAAATTTAATCACAGGTGGCTAACAAGTAGGAACCAGCTTCTAGCTATGGTACAAAAGATAGTGTAAAAACCATCATAACAAGCACCATTAGAAAATAAGTAAAGATTTGTGTTTTCCTGTCAAAACACACTCAGGAGGAGTTTGTTAATTATCAGATTAGTTGGGTCGGGTAAAAAAATAAAATAAAATGTGCAGGATCAGGGTTAGGAACCACTGTCTTAGACCACCTGCATTAAAGATTAGTTTTCTTACCAACAGTTAGGGAGAGTTATTCTACACAGTAACTCAAATACCAAACAATGGAGCGTGTGGTGCAGCTTCACCTTTGTTCTTATTGGGTTAAAGAGAGTTACAGGTGATAAACAAAAAACTAAATTTCTGTATAAATAACTTATGAGTTTAACATATTTTGTTTTGATAACATTTATTTCACTAATATATATATATATATATATATATATATATATATATATATATATCTATATATATATAGAGAGAGAGAGAGAGAGAGAGAGAGAGCAAATAAAACCCAACAAGAATAATAATCTAGCAAATGTCAAATTATAATACTAATAAGTCAATAAATAAATGAATCAATACTGCCAACTTGCAAAACCTTTTTTACCAAGAGATGCCCAGGCTATTACGCATACTATTATGCATACCCTCACTATGACATCAGGATAACACAGGAACATTGGGATAACCCTAAATATATTCCACTAATTGGCCACTTATTAGAAACAACTACCTTGTACAGATATTATGTGGGTGGTGGTTCGTTCTCAGCACAGCAGTGACATTGTCATGGTAGTGTA